CCGGGAACATCGACTTACCGACACACTATCAGCCGAAAGACTTGAGGAAACCACAGTGAGCGGAAGGGGCGCCCTGGATGAACTGTGGGCGGTTCTCAGGGGCCCCCCTTTTCGGAAAATCGGCAGGATGCGCAGGAAGGCGACGCGAATCTGGAAGGACCTAGAGGCAGAGCCGAGAAGAGTCACTGTTCGGTGTGCCGCAAGTGCGTGAGGACGAACACGAGGACTCAGCCCCACGACGCCGAAGACGCCGAAGACGTCAACTCGATGTAAGCCGCCTCTCGGGTAGCCGTAGAGTTCCGTCCGGTTATGGCTGGTAGCGTGAGTCTGTTTTGTATTTAGTGTCTCTCACACAACTAACCGAGATTTTTGATACCGTGAGCGCGTATTGACGCTCAATTACCGCGTGTCCAGCCGGCTCCGGATATCGCGTAAAAGTCTCTCCGTCTTGCGTGAGTTAAGCGCCGACAGTCTCTTTCTCGTTGCCGTTTCGTTTGCCGTTCGTTTCGTTACCGTACCGTCTTCCCGTTACCGTTTCTTTTTGTAGAATACTGACTAATTGCTACCGTTTTTCCGTTACCGTTTCTTTTTGTAGAATACTGATTAATTGCTACAGTCTTCCTTACGATATCGTTTTGTTACCGTTTTTTGTCGCGTTATCACCGTACCGAAAGTACCGTGGGCGGATGTCCGCGGACGGATTTTGCTCGGGAGCGTTCTCCGCGAGACCGCTGTTACCGCCTCGTTAGCGTCTCGGCGAGAAACGTGAAAGCCCGCGAAAATAGCCGTTCCGCGACATCTCATTTCTGGCCGTTAGGCTACCGTCGTTCAAAGTATATTTATTTGGCCTTCACCGACCGTATCGGATGGTCGTAATACAAGTCATTTGTTTTGTCAAATATCGTCGGATCAGCTGCGAATTATCGTGATCGCGTTTCCGAGATTTCATATGGTTACCGAAATTGGTTCTCGTTATCGATTGATTGAGCGAATTACCTTACTACCGTACTAGACTATTTCCGCCGTATCGGCTCAGGCCGAACGATCTACGCATCTTTACCCTTGTAACCGAATCATGGAAATACATTATTGTTAAATATTAATGATTGAGTTGTCCTTGTGTTCACCTCTCACTCCAGATATCTACGTTAAGTAAAGAACTGCGCCCCTCTGCCATACTGAGCGGGGAGCGGCCGAGTCAAATTTTGAGAACTATTAAAGTTACCGATACCGCGGTGCGATTATTCGCACCTGGCGCCCATTTCCGGTTACCGTTATCGCGTGAGTTACCTTGCTCCCGAATTGTGTGGAGTACCGCGAGTTACCGAATCGTGCAGTCATTGCCGATTTCGCGAGTTACCTTGCTCCCGACGAGCGTGGAGTACCGCGAGTTACCGAATTAAGCATCTGTTTCTGATACCGTAAGTTACCGAGTCGAGCAGTTATTGCCGATGCCTCGAGTACCGATTTCCATTGGGCGTGCTCCCTCGGATCTGGCGTGATTCCGAGGCTAGTTCACGTCGCAACATATATATACCTATAGTAAAATTTTTTAAATTTTTAAGGGTGTTGCTATGATTTTTGTTCTATGTGAATGTCGCTCTAGTGATATGTATAAAGCTATATGGAAAAAAATTGTAGAATTGGTACCAACACTTGAAAAAAATGTGAAATTTTTAATGAGCGATTATGAGCCAGCTGCCATGAAGGTAATGAGTAAACAATTTCCAACAGCAAATGCACATGGATGCTGGTTTCACTTTAATCAGGTATAATAGTTTACTAAATTATTATTTAAACATTAGAAAAGATTGTGAAATACAAATTGATAAATAAAACGAGCTCAAGCCAGTTTATATATATAAACAACAACATATACACAATATATATAACAATTAATATTACGCTACTCCAACATTTTTGATTGAGGAAAATTGTTAATATAAAAATTTAGTATGCGAATTTTGTACGTAACTTTATTTCTATTTACTGAAGAAGGCCAGATGTTAGGCTAAAACATTTGAATGTAAATAATAAAATATAATCTATTGGGGCTATACAGGGTGTTAAAAAATTATTGCATAAGTTCTACATTAATTGGTAGAGTAAAAATTTCTAAGGCGAAAAGCTCTTTATAACTTTTCGATCTGATCAATAATTAAGACGCAATTGTTAATTGAAAATCGGAGGATTCAACCAATTAACGCAGAGCCCCGGCGGAAACCGGAGAGAGCGGCGAGCAAAGTGGAAAGTAATTGATTGGATCCTCCGACATTCAATTAACAATTGCATCTCAATTATTGATCGGATTGGAAAGTTGTAAAGAGCTTTTTGTCTTAAAAATTTTTGCTTTACCGATTAGTGTAGAGTTTATGCGATGGTTTTTTAATTACACATTCTGTATATATATATATAAATCAACCTGGTTCCTTGAGCTCGTTTTGTTTACCAATAAATTATTATTAATAATAATTAATAATAATTATTATTATTATACGTAGAGGACATTGTAGCTTGTTGAATGGCTATTCTACAATAAGCCGTAAGTCGTAAAGTCATAAGAAATTGACCAATTACAGATAAATCACAAAAGAATTTATCGACTGTGATTGGTCAATTTCTTATGATTTTACGACTTACGGCTTATTATTATATAAAATGGACAGAATGCTTTACATGGTCCTTCTCTCGCAAAATAATGGGAAACCAGCGAGAGTTTCTTTCTTTAATATAATTTTTCTGGAATGGTACATCTTGAGTATACTAACAAGACAGAGAGGTCGCTAACGCTTTTAGACGTTACGATAAAAAAGAATACACATATTTTTACAGGCACTTTCGCGTTACTGGAGACGATTAGGATTAACAGATACACCAAGAAATGTTCTGTCCATGACTATGACGATGGCATTGCTTCCTTCTGACTGCTTTCAAGAAGCATTTTCTTTAATACAACTGGAAGCTAATCAGATTTCCAATAAATATCCTGCTATTTGTGACTTTTTAAATTATGTTCGCAAAACTTGGCTACCATTAGCGTCAAAAGTTAGTGTTTATGATTGTCCGGTGAGAACAAATAATATAACAGAGAGTTTTCATAATATAGTAGGAAAAAGATTCAGAAAAGGAAATATTTGGAATTTCTTAGGTAATCATTAATACTTTTTTTGTTTTACGTTATAAAATGAACAAATTTTAACACATGTTTTACTTACAGATAATTTACAAAAAATAATTGTTGATGAAGAAATAAAACTAAAACGTCTACAGGCAGGCGAGAATATTGGATATCGTACTATTAAAAATAAAAGGCGAGATCTGAAAATACGAGAAGCTCAAGAAAATTTTGCAAATGGCAGGTTTGTAATAAAATTGTGTCAAAGTCCTCTAATGTAATTAATTATTAAAGTATATTTTGATATATGTAACATTTTGTTTCTAGAATAACTTTTATTTGAAAATTTTGTACATTGCATGCGTAGATGCACGTATATTCTATGCATTTTTATACATTTCTCTCTCTCTCTCTC